AACTCACTCATGTGAAACCTCCCCTAACTCTTTGTCTCCAGTTCCATCCTTTCTTAACCCCCCTGGCTTCCTTTGCCAGCCCCAGACCAGCTGCTTATTGTTGGAGGAGGGACACCCCACAGAGCCTGCTGGTCTCATTTTAAACTCATGGCCCAAACTTCAGGGGAGGCCTCCCTCTTCTAATTGTGTTTCTCTATCTAGAATGAGATGCCCTTCAAAACAACCATTCACACCTCCTCTGTTCTCAACTCCCACACTCCTGCCCACTTTTTCTCACCTCTTGGAGAAAATAGAAGCCAATTGGGCAGGAAGCCTCTCCCTTCCCAGTAGCAAATCAACACAGTGTGGGCATCTGGACTCTGTCTTCCCTCCTGTTCCCAGCAAGGATTCCTCCCCTTGGACCCTAGATCTCACCTATCATGTCCTCCAGAGCTATACCTCTACCCCCAACACCCTTCCGTCCTTGGCCACTGTCATCTGTATAGAAAAACACCCTACTTTTTCTGCCACATAAAACAGGTAAATGATCCCTTAGCGCCCCACCTTCTCCAACTCCTGTCTCTCCTTTTTCCTTTAGAGACAAATTTCTCCAGAGTTCTCCAGTCTGTTTCCATTCCTCAACTCTTGTTATGGTTTTGATCTGGAATGTCCACCAAAGTCTCATTTGTACAGAGGTGGGCTTTGAATCAGGAGGGCTCTGACCTCATCAGTGGATTAATCCACTGCATGGATTAATCCATTAACAGCTGATTGGACTACTGGGAGATAGGACCTCATTGGAGGAAGTAGGTCACTGGAGTATGCCCTGAAAGGGTTTATTTTCTCCCAGTCCTTCCCTCTGTCTTTCTCTCTCTCTCCTTCCTGGCTGACAGCTTCCCTCTGCCATGATGTTCTTCTTCACCTCATGCCCAGAGCAATGGAGATGGCCAACCATGAACTGAATCTTCTGAAACTGTGAGGATTTCAGACGGAAAAATACATTTTTCCTTTTTTAAAGTTGTTTCTGTTGGGTATTTTGGTGACAGTGACAAAAAGCTGACTGAGCCTCTTCAAACCACTCCAATTAGCTTGTCTCCACCCCTTGCTTTTTGGAAACTGCTTTAATAGGCATCCGCAGTGACATTCTGTTACTAAATCCAGGAGGTAGGTCACCTTTTGTTCAGCCTTGCCTGTCACTGGGCACAGGTGGCCGCCCTTCCTCCCACACTGGGCTCCAGGACATCACTACTTTCCTTTCTGCCTTTTGGGCTGCACCTCCTGTTTCCGTGGCTGACCTCACCCTCCCTGCTCAGTCTCTGAACAGTCCCCCAGGTTTCTTCTTCCTACTGACATTTTCAGACGGTCTCATGACATCAGATCATGTCTATACACTCCTGACTTCAAAATTCATTGCTCCAGCCTTAACCTCACTCCTGCACTCTGGACACGTTTCCAATTGATGATTGATTTCTCCACATGAATGTTCAGTGGTCATCAGACTTGCTCATGTGACTTGCTGTAACCAATGAAATGTAAGAATGACATAATCGCTAAACTCCCTCTTCCCTTTTCCAAAAGAGGGTGATCAGTAATGTTCTACCTAGAAATGACTCCATCAGCCTGGATCCCAGGGAGAAAACAGCAAATATAGCCACAAGTGACCCACAATAGGTATGTAGCAGGAGCAAGAAATGTTTGCCACGTGAAGCAATAGATTTTGGGGGTTTTGTTAACCAGAGCACACCATAGCCTATCCTGACTATTACATGTACTTCTTGAGGTTGTGTGATCCAATAAGCAACAGGGAGACTGCTCCAAATCATATTCATGAAGATGAGCCCAGCATGAATCGTACCATGAGGGAGACAGGTATACCTTAGTGTTAGGGAAATAAACCTTAGCCAGGTACAGTGGTGCACACCTGTAATCCCAGCAGCTTGGGAGGCCGAAGCAGGATCATGAGTTCAAAGCCAGCCTCAGCAAAAGCGAGGAGCTAAGCAACTCAGTGAGGCCCTGTCTCTAAATAAAATACAAAATAGGGCTGGGGATGTGGCTCAGTGGTGAAGTGCCCCTGAGTTCAAATCCCCAGTTCCCCTCTCCCCACAAGAAAAGGAAAATGAACCTTGCTGGAAATAGAGCAGAGCCCCCATATCAGAGGCCAATTCCAAGTTGGTTCCAATTTTACCCTTAAATTGCCCATAATATATAGAACAGTGTGGTGTGATGTCTGATGATCAACAGAGCGTGTTTTCCTCCAGCACTGGAACAAATAGTTTTTCTTTGGTTGAACACCTGATAAAGTAAATGATTTGTTAAGAGAGCCTTCTGTAAGAAAAATCTGTCTTTGAACAGCAAACACATCCAGTACGGCAAAATGCTTTCTACCATATCAATTTTCTTCTTCCTCTTAAGACCACAACTAACCTCTATTTCCCAACATCCCTTGCATGTAGACGTGGCCATGGGACTGGGCTGTAACCAGTGGATGCAAGTGGAGCAATATGTGCTAATATACCCAGCCTTCCCCAGAAAGCTTGCTCTAGGCAGTCTTCTTAAGTAGAAGCACACACACTCTCCTCCCCAGCTCCCCCTCTTTTAAGATCACATTACAGCTGGATTGGCATGGAGGCTTCTGGTGGCACTGTAAATGGTTAAGCATCAAAGAGCCCAGGAGCCAGTCAGGGCTGTGGGAGTCAGAAAGGTGGAGGATTCCCTGCTCCAGGTTTGGTCCAATGCTCAGAGGACCCATCTGGCTGAAGGGACAGTTAATTCTGGAAGGATGAGGGGAAAGGGGGGGTTCTGCTGCAGGAGCTGGGAGGACACCTTATCTGGTCTCCTCTTACACCGGAAGCAGGCCAGGCAGGGCGAGGCTTGTGCATCCGAACCACAACTCGGTTTTGGGCAGTCCCTATACCTTCCTTAAGCACAGATCTGCCCCTTCCCTGAGTAAAGCCCTTCAATACTCATGCCACAAGTGTTTCCAGGAAGAAGTGTGAGAGGATTTGCCACAGCATCATTCACGGTGGCTGGACCTGGTTAAATCGATAATCGCTGGCATTCTATGCAAACATTAAGAAGTCTGCTGACTTGGGACTGATGTCGGTGATCAATGCTAAGAGGACAGGATCCAGGGCCAAACTGGCCTCCTCTCAGGGCCTCTATTCCCCTCTGGAAAATGAGCACATTAATAGGATTGTCTACTGCAGAGAACACAGTGGAATTCAGTTAAGATGATTAAGACAATGCACATAAAAAGCACAGTTAGCAGTGACACAGCCCACATACAGAATGAAATTTAAAATATGGACAATAAAGTCCTAATGTCCTACTGAGTTCCTTCAGCCACTCCAGCTGGCTGCTTCTGCCTCATCTCTCTCCAGCTCCCCAAACACCCCCAGCACTTGGTGTTCTAGCCACATCAATTGAGGTCTATCAATGCCATCATTGCCTGGGTGCTCTCTGGTTCCCCTGCCTTTGCAGGCTGTTCCCCCCACCCACACACACACACCCTTCCCCAGTCCCCACCAGCTTTCTACTTAAGATACCCACCCTCTTCACCAAAACCTAAGGGAGGTGCTGAGGTCTTCTACTCCTATCCCCCATGAGCACCTCCCTGATTATTGCTACCTCCTCCAGCCCTGCCCACCCATGATCTTAAGCCAGTTGCCCAATTCCCATGGAATCTCCTGGGCATAGGAGTTTAAACCCAATACACAGCTGATGAACTTTACTTTAAAAATTTATTTTATATACGTGTGTGTGTGTGTGTGTATTGGAGGGATACGCAGAATTGAACCTGGGGATGCTTAACGACTAAGCCACATCCCCAGTCCTTTTTATATTTTATTTAGAGACAGGGTCTTGGCGAGTTGTGTGGGGCCTAAGTTGCTGAGGCTGGTTTTGGACTTGCAATCCTCCTGCCTCAAGCTGCTGGGATTACAGATATGTACCACCACGCCCAGCTCTGATGAATTTTAGTTCCCCTGGATGTGAAGGCCTTTGGGGCCACCTGCTAAGCTATTTTTTTTTTTTTAGAGAGAGAATTTTTTAATATTTATTTTTTTTTAGTTCTCGGCGGACACAACATCTTTGTTTGTATGTGGTGCTGAGGATCGAACCCTGGCCGCACGCATGCCAGGCGAGCGCGCTACCACTTGAGCCACATCCCCAGCCCCCTGCTAAGCTATTATGAAGATGAAATGAGTAAGATTTGCCAAGAACCCAGCACAGGGTTCCAATAGAGTTCAAAAAAGAAAGCTGGCATTAGAGAGCAGGAGAGCTAATGATAGTAGTAGCTGTTAGGGACAGAGGCCCAGAATAATGCCCAGCATATGGTATATAACAGGTGTCCCAAAATTGTTTAAGAACAGTGATTCTCAACATTGGGAGGAAGAATCAAGTGGAGTTTATTAAAATTGCAGACTTCTGGGCTCATCTCTGGAGACTTGATTTCTTTTTAAATTTCTTAGTTGTAGTTGGACACAATACCTTTATTTCACTTACCTATCTTTTATGTGGTGTTGAGGATTGAACCCAGGGCCCCGCACATGTGAGGCGAGCGCTCTACCTCTGAGCCACAACCCCAGCCCCAAGAGACTGATTGATTCTGAAGGTCCAAGAGGTTGCATTCTGAGAATAACCTATAAGTGGTCTAAGGGCCACATTCTGAGAAACCAACTAATCTTTTCTGGAATATTTATTAAGTAACTATTCATTTCAGATTAAGGTAAATATCCATCTAACCATAGAGAAAGGAACAGGAAGTCTGTGCACTCAGGGAGTTTACACTCTAGTGGGGGTAGAAATATCAAGAATATGAGTCAAAGCAGACCATCAGGGACATAAAGAAGGTGGGTTGAGAAGATGTGGCATGAGCGTGGGAGGTCGGAAGGACTTTTCTGTCATTCTGGAATGACAGGAGCCAGCCGCAAACTGGGAGAAAACATCCAGGTAGATCTTCCTTTTTCCCAATCTCCCCTTAATCCAGGGCCTGATCCAAAAATGTCTAAAAGGAAACCAAGTCCAGAAGAGAGAAGCTGTTGCCTTTATTATCAAGGCTTTCAAGGTCAGGGTAGACCGGACGGTAGACTGCCATAGGAAGGATCTAGACGGCCCTTTCCTCCTGGGCACGGTGCCCCAGGCTTCCTGTGGCAGGGGGCAGAGATCTGACTCACCTGCCTTTTGGGAAACATGGCTCCTGCACCATCTCTCTCAAGTGTCCCTAAAACCTCAGGCCAAGCCAGAAGCCAGGGCTGAGCCAACCTCATGTGTGGCGATGCGTAATCCTCAAATAGGCTGCCTGAAAACACAGGGGCATCCTGAACATCCTTTTTGATTTGTAGACCAGGTCTTTGGGGATCACAAGGGTGGGCCTAATCTTCAGGGTTACAGAGATCGTGACAACACCAAAGAGAGGCTGACCCCCATCCCTGCAGGTTGGAGAACACATTAGGAAGACATGAGAATGGGCCTCCTGGGAGGGGGAGGGAAGCCATGTGGCACAATAAGATGACCAATCAGGTGGGAGGTTCCAGGAGTTGTCAGGGTCACTTCTTCTTGGCACGGTCTGCCGCATCCAGGGCAGCCATGTTTCGGGCAGCTGTGATCAGGTGGATGACACTGATGAGGGACTTGAGCAAGGCGATGGGGGCGGTGACCCAGAGACCCATTCGGAAAAGCCCCACAGAGCCAACTGCAGAGAGGCAGCAGGGGAAGGGGGTGTGGAGAGAGAAAATAAATATGGGAATAGGAAATTGATGTGCCCAGATGTCTGAGGCCTTTATCTCCCACTCGCAGGGGCAGGACCCCTCTCCCACCTGCCTCCCAGCCCATCCTCTCCTACCTAACGGTCCCTCGGAGAAATTGAACAGGTAAAGGAGGCAGTAGAAGAGCTCATTTCCAGCACACAGGGTGAACAGAGCAGGCTGCACACACAAAGAACACTTAAGTAGCCAGCAGGGTCTCACGCACCCCACACCCCACAAGGCTCTCTACCACGGAGGGGGCAGTGCATTTCAGCAAATCACTTCTCTTTACAAAACTTCTGGTTCACAGATTTTAAAAGTCCATGCTCAGCCTGACCCCCCAACCATGCCCCACCCTATTTCCCTCCCTCCTCTCCCTCCAGCCAGTTACTCCCAATGGGTGCACAGAGGCCTCATTCCCAATGCAGTCAGGAGGATCCACTCAAGCCTTCCCCGCCAATCCTGCTCCGTCATGCCTCAGCCTAGAGGTCCCTCCTTCCCAGAGGGTCTTCGCTGTCCCTCCCTATCACTGTGCCCTCTCTTGACCCTGCACCAAAGTTCCTTCACCCAGAAGCTGAGGGGCAAGGAATGCTCACCCTGGAGGTGTAGTAGATCCGAAGCACTGGATTCCCAGACAGGTCGATCATCTTGTGACTCTCACTACCCCGGACCACAGAACTTGGAGAGAAAATAGGAGGAATCCATGAACATTCATTTCCTTTAATGTCTATCTAACCCTCACATCAACCCAATGTGGAAGATGCTATGTAGAGCTGAGGAGCTGAAAACCAGGACCTTTCCCAAAGTTACACAATTACAAATTGTGTGTGTGTGTGTGGGGGGGAGGTGGCAATCAAAACTCAAATGCCTCATTGAAAGCTTCCATGCCCCTTCCTAGTTACTGAGGTTGGCCTCAAATTTGTGATCCTCCCCAGCAGCTGGGGTTATAGGTATGCATCACCGTGCCCAGGTGCGCATTTGGAATCCTACAATAGCAAGCCAAAAGTGCCTTAAGGAATTGCTTAATTCCAACTGTAAATAAGACTGAAACTAATTCAGAGAGAGAGACACACACACATGGTTTGCCCAGGGTCCTTCAACAGAGCAGAGTTTACAAGGAGACCTCCTGAAAAGCCTGAGGCCATCCAGAGACACCCTCCCCACTGTAGTGTTTTCAAGTGGTCAACACCCTAGAACTGAAGCAGACCTGTGGAGGTGCAGCCAGTGACTGGCCACATCCAAGCTCATGCTGAGCTGGAAGAGAAGGGTAGCTCGAGGGTACAGCAGGGCCAGGTTGACCAACAGACACATGGTAGAGCAGCGGTCCGTCAGCATGTCCAACATGGCCCCAAACCGGGTTCCTGAAAAATGGGGACTGTTAGGTAGGAAGGGAGCAGTGGACCCATGCTAGGTGCCCATATCTGGTATATTACTCTGATGCAGAGTCTAAAAGGGTGGAAAATATCTACTGCCTAGGGAGGAAAACTGCTGCTAGTGGTGGGGTGTGAGACAAGTGTGCAAAGGTCACCATGGCATGAAATGAGCTGGAAGAAAACAGTGTTGGGGGGAGGGGAAGCTATATCTTTAACTCATCAGCCCTAGAATCCAGGCTCCAGGGCAAAACAGGAGTTTAAGGTGGGTCTTAGGGTGGGTCTGGAGAGCAGATTAATTACCCTCCAGAAGCCACACCCTTCTCTCCCCATCCCCCACCTCAAATTGAACTCCCTATTGCATGCGCCTAGCACACAGTAGGCCCCCAGTAAACACTTGTTGAATGGAAATTTATTCAGGGAGATCTCTAGCAGTATCAGAGCCAAGCCCAGGCTTGCCCTTTATCCAACCCTCATAGCAGGGAATTCTCAAGAGCTAGCTTAAATCCCTTCTGCTATGAAACCAGGCCGTTCTATTCTGCTTTCTAGAGAGAAAGGAATGACAGAGCCCTCGGTGAGGTCCTAGGAGACAGGGAAAGGGGACAAGGCTGGCAGGTAGGGGGTGCCTCTCACCTTGATTGAGGGCCCGAGCAGCATGTCCATCAAAAGCGTCCAGAAGTCCGCTGAGCAGATAGAAGGAGGAGGCCGTGAAGGGGCAGCAGGGCATGAAGTAGAAAGCGATGATGGCGAAGACAATCCGGGCATAACCTTGGAAAGGGAAGTGGGTGAACAGCGAGGGATCAGGGAACCTGTCCGAGGCCCCTCGCCCTCCCGTTCTTCCCGGGGCCGCAGGCAGCACTCACCGATAAGGTTAGGCACGAAAAGGAAGATATTTTCGCTTGGCATCGCGGCGTTCCACTTGCCGCCCCGGACCAGCTCCGGAGGTGCTAACGCTGTCCCAGCCCCACCCGCGCGGCCTCACCCTCCGGCCCGGCACATCGGCCGCCTCTCCTGCGCCCTGGACCCCGCTGCCTGCGCCCGGCCCCAGATGTTAAAGATCGCAACCGGCGGGAGCATGGGCCAACCAGATGTGCTCTGGGCGCAGGGGGCGCGAGCAACCCGCCCTTCCGATGGGCAGAGCCTCGCCTCCGCCCACCCCGTAGGCGCAGCCGACCCAGCAGAGATCCCGGCTGCTCCAGCTGTGCTCGGCTTCCGGAAACCTACTCTTCTGGGCTCCTCCTTGCAAAATTGGAGATCAGAGAAAGGAGGAAGAAGCTTTAAAAAATGGCTGCGGCCCCTTTAAGACCTGCCCGTTTCCTTTTCCTTTTCCTCTCTCCGCCCCTTTGCATCGGGTCGTACCAAAGCACAGAGGGAGAAGAGGGAGCAAAGAACCATCGGCGCCGAGCCAAAGAAGGAACTGAAGAGGAAAAGGGCAAAAGAAAGGCAGCCTAAGTGAATATCTCTTCTTTTTCCTTTTTACGAAGGATATGACTTCCTGACGACAAAGATAAAGGGTTAAGATTCCGCCCTCCTGAGTCTTCGCCTCCCCTAGAAACAAGGCTAGTTGGTACAGTCCACATTCTCGTTCCCCGCCCCCTAACTCCCTGGCCTCATTTGCTCTCGCCGGCTCCAGGAGGAGAGAGGCTAGAGAGGCTTCAGAGCGGCCCAGGACTGGCTTGCTTCTGGCTTCTAGGGACACCCTAGTGGTGGGAGGATCGGTCCCACCCTACGTTATCCTCCCAAACTTAAGCCTCTAGTGCTGGGGTCACCCCCCTCCAGTGAGGGACCTGGAGGACGCTGGAGGGGAGGTCGAGGAACGAACTTTGCATGCTAAAAAAATGTCCTCATCTTTGGTTCTAGAATCCCTAATCTCCTAGCAACGGGGCTGTAGAATCTTCACAGACATTAAGGTTTTTATAGCAACGGGTTGCGGCGCCTCCCGGGCTCCCCCTCTTTCCACTTTCCCCTTCCCATCTCCTCCCCTTCCCCCTTGATCCATAATAGGGGCCCCCTTAGACCTCTCCGTCTCCCCCTCCTGCTGAATACCCCAAGATTTCAACCTATCTGCCAGGTCTGGGGCGGCGAGTAGGCTGCCTTGGCTTGGGAAGGGCCTTGGGAGGAAAGATGGAGGAAGAGGCTGTCTGGGCTTGTAGTTTTGTGAGAGTCATCTCCCCCCAAAAAAGCTTAGGGCTGAGATTACATATATACCTATACCCTCTCCCACCCAGAGAGAGAGGAGAAAATTGAGACCGTGGTATGTTTCTTCCAAGAGCATTGATTAAACCTTGGCTCTGGGAATGGAGGTCGGCTGAGTTCTTGGGAAAGCAGGCTGGCTTCTCAGCCTAACACAGGCTTTGACTGTTCACAGGGGATGGCATCCACTCCTACCAGGAATGACAAAAAAAAAAAAAGAGCAGCTGGCTGTCTCAAACTGCATCCTCCTTGAGTGGAGGGCAGGTGAGCACCTAAGGGGAGCTCCCAAGGGGAGCTCTGGAGGTGGGAGTGTAATGAGGTGAGGAGCACCCAGGCAGAGGCAGCTGGTCTGAGCTGCAAGCCCTGGGACACTAACCTCCATCCTGAGCCCTGAGCCTCCCTCAGACTGCTCCTCACAGGTCTAGGGCCTTCTAGTCAAATCTCAAGGTTCAACCCTCCAAAACAGACTCTTCAGCCCCAGAGCCTCCAGCTGGGAAGCCCCCAGACCCAGCATTCTGAGGCTGTACAGAAGTTTTCACACTCAGATCTTCTGACTTCCTTTCCCAGAAGGTTTCAATATCTTGTTCTGAGGAATTCCTGACTCGGATCAGCAATGAACTTACAGAGGAGGCCTTGTTTATAGCTGGCTGCCACATGAATCCTGTGCCCACCGAGGAAAAGCAGACAAAAGACCAAGGGACTCAGATATCCAGTCACGGTGACCTCCACCTCAGGACTGCTGTGTCTAGAGGCCCTCCCATATGCCTGGTTCCAGTCCCTGACCCTCTCCTGACCATAAATGACCTCTCCAGGAAGCTATGCCTGAGTGGCCTGTTTCAGAGCTGGTTCTAGGCACAGTGCCCCATAAACCCTAACCCAGTACCCACTCCTCACTGCTGGCCAGAAATTCCCTTGGCCCTTTCTTCCCTAGCCATATCTCTTGCTGCCCTTGGGTTGGGCATAGTCATTTCTCTAACTGGGGCCTCTGCTTCCAGTGCTCTTCACCATGACTGGAGGCACAGACACCTGGTGAGTGAGGCTTCATGGAGATGTACTTGGTCCAGGGAAAAAGATAAGGAACATATAGGAGAGAGAGCAAGGGTTTGGCAAACATTCCAGCGGGGTAGAGGGATTTTTGAACCATGCAGCTCTATTTTATTCTGCTCTGATCCTCAAATTCAGAGTTCTCATTCAACCTTCTCCTTTCTCTTCTGCCATCTCCAGCTCTGACAGAGACCATATCCACACCAAGGCACACCGGCTATCCCTTCGTGATAAGGTATCTATGAGGCTGTTCAGTATTAACAAAACATTTAGAGTTTGCACTATGTGCCAGTACTTGCTTTAGGAACTTGGGACATAGAAATAAATAATAGAGTCTCAGCCTTTGAATTATTTACAGTTTAATGTGAGGACAGACAAATAAATGGCCAATTACAATATAGTATGGACACATACGTGTAAGAGAAATGGAAACAATGAGAAGAATACTTCTATCCCAACTTAAATTAGGACAGGAAGGAAAGGAATCATGGAGCTTCCTGGAGACACCTAATGAATTTTCCAGGAGAACACTGGGCATGGTAGCACAATGCTTGCAATCCTTTTTTTTAAAAAAATATATATATATTTATTTTTTAGTTTTCGGCCGACACAACATCTTTGTTTGTATGTGGTGCTGAGGATCGAACCCGGGCCGCACGCATGCCAGGCGAGCACACTACCGCTTGAGCCACATCCCCAGCCCCAATGCTTGCAATCCTAGTGGCTTGGGAGGCTGAGGCAGGAGGATTGCAAGTTCAAAGCCAGCTTCAGCAACTTAGTGAGGCCCTAAGCAAATTAGCAAGACTTTGTCTCAAAATAAAAATTAAAAAGGGCTGGGGGTCTGGCTCAGTGAACCCCCTGGGTTCAATCCCTGGTACAAAAAAAAAATTGCAAGAAAACAAGGGCTGGTAGGAGTACTCCAAGTAGTAGAGATTCCATGAGTAAAGGCATGAAGGGTCTTAGAAGGGTGAGTGTAAGCAGATGCATGTGCACTGAGGGTGGAGGATAGGGCCTGAAGCAGCTTAACCCCTGGAATATGCAGGCAAGGTAGACAGGGACTAACCAAGAGGCCTATGTGTGCCTTGTTAAGATCATAGACATTTTTCTATAGGTAAGAAACCATTGAAGAGCTGGAGTAAGAAGTGGGAATTTTCTATCAGTCACTTTGATAGTCACTGGAGAGGGGGAAAGACTGAAGGCAGGGAGGCCAGTTAGGAATTATTGCAAAGAAACCAAATTAGAGATGATGGTCCTAACCTGGACAGTAATGGTAGAGATGGAAGGAGGAGCCCTGGTTAGAAATGGTAGAGGGGAAAAAGGGAATCAGATGACTGCCAAGTTTCTGACTTGGGCAACCTGAGTCTGATCATGTCATGTTTCCTCTTGGAACTCTATGGTAGCTTCCAATTTTCAAGTAAAAAGCCAGTGTCCTTCAGTGCTCACATGGCCCAGCATGAGCACTCCACATCTATTGTCTCTGTGATTTCATTGTCTGTAACTTCTCCACTTATTTCCCTGTCTCTGCACCTGGGCCTTCTCATTCTTTCTGGAACATGGCAAGCATGTTTCCGACTTTAGCCAGGAAATGTTTTTATTACTTTATTTAAGTGTGTTTATCGTGCTCATGGGGGACTCCAGGTGGAAATATTCTATAGACAGACAGTTGGAAATATGGATTCTACACTCAAAGGATAGATCTAGGTTAGTGATTGAGAGTTGACCCTGAGGTCATGAGGAGGGAGCTGGCAGTTGAAGGGAGAGTATGTGGTGGCCCTGTGAGGCTTTGGGTAGAGTAAGAAAGGAAAAGGTGCTGAGGGTGGAGCCCTGGAGAACTCCCTGTAATGGGTTGGCAGAAGAGGAAAGAAGGATTCAGGGAGAAGGAACTGAAGCCAACAGATGTTCATTGTGTATGATGTGCCAGGTTCATCAAGCCATGGGGACAAGTCATTTTTCTGACTTGGGCCACTACTTCAAGTATTAATCACCAAACTTGAGGCAAAATACAGCCGAGAATAAGCCAAATCTCTTGTCCTCAAGGAGCTGATTTTTTTAGTGCCTTTGGGACATTAGATCTCTCCTAACGGGGCTGGTATTAGAAATAGTTTGAATAATCAGAAAAGCCCCTGCCTTAATAATTTATCTGCTAACTTATGTAAGTTGCTTTCCTTCTTCCTCCATCCCAAGATGCTCTGTGAGGACCTGCCTATCCGTACAGTGGTTTCCCCTCCTTCCCAGATGACATTTGATTAAGGATTTCATCCTGAGCAAACATCTTTCCCTCATCCACCTGCCAGCCCCCCATGATTTCAGGAGACTTTTTCTTGCTTACCTTCAAAGAAGAACCTGGAAGCCTACACATCTTTGAATTGCTCTTTGAATTGTTGGCATTGTGGCTAATCAAAAATGTTAGGAGAGGGAATGGGTGAGTAGATGGGGAGGTAAGTAAATGGTGAATGGGTAAATGGATATATTCATTGAACATATATTAAGCACTTACTGTGTTCTAGTACTTCTCTAGAGGGTGAAGTATAGCAGTGAACAAAACAGAATCCCTACTGGTAAGGAGTTTAAAAGGGGCAGAGTGAGTGAGTAGATAAAAGAGAGGTGAGTGGGTGGCTGGATAGATGGGGGTAGATGGATGAGTGAGTGGAAAGGCAGATGGAGAATGATGGATAGATATCCAGATGGATGGGTGGAAGGAGAATGTGGGTGGGTGGGGAGATGGAGAGATGGATAGGAAATGGTGGATGAATAAATGGGTTTGATGGATGGGTAAAGGATGGAAAGATGGTAAGCCATAAGCTTTGGGTCTAAAGAGTCAAAAGCTGTCTTCCAGAGAGTTCTCTCCCACAGTTTGACATTCTATTAGCCCAACCTTTTTTGGTGCTGTTCTTGGTTTCTCATGCCCTCCCCCATTTTTCCCTCTAGAACATGCCTCAAAACTCCTCTTTCAAAACTTGTTAAATATTTCATTTGGGTGGGGGGATTCCTGGTCATGAGCAGTGCCACCCTGGAAGCCAAGGAAATGTTCTGGATGCATCGCACAGATCTCCATCTTCAGCCAACAAAGATACCACCAGGAAGAAAAGGCTTTAATAAAGTCATGGGGTTCTTCCCCTTCCCCCCAATTCAGGAAGTGCTCTGGTGTTGCTTCTCTGGGGTGGAAGCCAGATATGGTTGCTGGATATAAGCGTGCAGTTGGGATGGTTTTCATTTAGACGCTTCTCTGTCAGCCAGTTGGCAGAATTGATGTCATGGATGCCCACCCATCCTTACAGCTAGAATCTTAGTCTAGGGCTATGACATCTGGGAGGGTCCCCTCTTGCTTCCAAGGAGCAGCCTCAGCGACCTTTGGTGCTGAGGATCCTGATCCATGACCTTTCACTTGGACCCTAGGTCCTCACACCTATAGGAACATATCACCCACATTACTAGCCAGAAAGCTCTGCGGGCGGCTTTGTACATTTCACTCACAACTTGGCCACTTATTTGGGCCTCCTGAAGAAGTTGATTGACCATCCTGAACCTCAGTTTCCTTATCTAAAAAATAGGAATAAGTTGACCATTTTCACAGGATCTCATAAGAGTTAAAAAACATAATGAATGCAAAGTGCTTAGCACAGTGCCTGGCTGGCTCAACAGCCAACAGGCTATTATCAAGATCAGTTTGTCTCATTCACCTCCCTTTGAATATTTTAGCATCCTTTTAAGTGTCCTGAAAATGTTCAGTTGTACTGAGATATATAAATTTAATTAGTAAAAGTTAATTTGGAGAAAGGCCCTTTAGACAAATAGGCTATAAATTGGGCTGGGGAGCTGGGCATGTTGGCACATCTCTGTAATCTTAGCAACTCCCACTGGGTATGATGATGCATACCTGTAATCCCAGCAAATTAGGAGTCTGAGGCAGGAGGATCACAGGCTTGAGGCCAACCCCAGGAATTTACTGAGGCTATGAGTAATTTAGTGAGAACCCTGTCTTACAATAAAAAATTAAAAGAGCTTGGGAATGTCACTCAGTGGTAAAGTACCCCTGGGTTCAATCCCCGGTACCAAAAAAAAAAAAAATCCTAGCCACTCAGAAGGCCAAGGCAAGAAGATCACAAGTTCTAGGCCATCCTCCACAAAAAGACTTTAGGATATATATCAGTGGAATAGTCCCCCTGGGTTCAGCCTCCCTTACTACAATAAATAAAATTGGGCTGGGGGTGGTAGAGCGCATGCTTTGCATAGTAGAGCCCTTGAGTTTGTTTGCCAGCATAGAAACAAAAATGCTGTAAATTGCTTATAATATTCAAAAGTAGATTGGATATTATAGAAGAAAAGGATACCTATAAACTCAGGCTAAGTAGGCACGTCACAGCAGGAATTCTGCAAATGCAAAACACTAGGGGAGGTAATGGTTTACGTGAACTCTCAAGGGCACTGAAGTTGAGATAAATTGGTCATGAAGCAAACAGAGTTGTCTGCCTCCTGCCTTACAGTGAGCAGAGAGGGGTAGCGACTGTCACCTGTCCAGTAACCTCAAGGCCTGCTGGAGAGTCTAGAAGTCCCAGCCAGTCTTCCAGAGGCTGAGCCAAAAGTCAGGACTTTTTGAGGCCAGGCCAGTGCCTGTGACACTGACCTGCCAAGTTTTGATTTCTGTCTGTTTTCCAAATATTTCCCCTTCCCCAAGCCTCTCTCCAGAAAGATCACCATCACCATCTCTAATATTTTGTGGCCCACCTTCCCATACCCCTGACCAGCCCAGTTACAAGTGATGATTTTCCATTTATTGCTCAAAAACAAAAATCCAGAAGCAAAGGTGGAGAAATTGTGGGTTCGGGACACAGCAGGAACAGGGAGGGGCTTTGGCCCAGCTGTCCCCCTCATCCTTCCTCTTCTCACCCTCCAAGGCCCAGGAGTTAGGCATCTGGGAGGAGAGAAGCCTACAAGGCCAAGGGAACAGTAGAGCAGTTGGGGCAGTCCTTCAGGGGTGCCCTGGGTGGGAGGGGGTCCCAAGAGTTGCAAGGGCACTGAGTTCCCCTCCCAGGGTCCAAAAGCCAGTAGGGCAGGGGGCAGGCCCCTTGTTTGGCAACTGAGAAAAGGAGCCTTTGGGCGGCAGGATGCTGGTTTATTTACTGTAGGGTCTCCAGGGCCATCAAAACCCCCTTGTGGGACAGGGAGATTATTTACACAACAGGGAGGAGGGAAGCCAGGAGCCAGAGACCAGGTCCTGTGCTCCCCACTGCCCTGAATGAGGAGGGAACGGGTGTCCTGGGTCCTGCAGCCTTAGTCTTGGCATTCAGATGGAAACTTCATACTCCCGTGTATCCTGAAGACAGAGAGATCAGATCAGTTGTTGAAGTGAGATGGAAGTGGAAGGGGTGGAAAAATGGGAGGAGGCATGGACGAGGAGGGGGAAAGACCCTTGGTTTTTAAAGTAACATTGATCATAGGGGGCTGGGGGGTCACAAGGGGAGAATGAGGCTGAATCTGGACAATGGATTTATTTGGTTCATCCTTTCATGTCTTAAAAAAACAACATAAAAATCTGAATTTCTGATTTGTCTTGAATAGTTGGAGGATTTGGCAACTGGGCCTAAGTGTCCACTATGGGTTATAGCTGTAGCCTTTGGATGGGCACCATTTCTCCAGTTGGCCACAGTCCCCACCACTCCCTATTGTTCACACACAGCTTGCTTTGCTCATTGGCATGGCCTTTTGTAGGCAGCTGAGTTTAAAGTTCCCAAAAAGAGATCACAGAGATTTTAGAGAAGGTTATGAAGTCCTGGGGGGAGCTGAGAGATGTGGCACTGCAGGGGAAGGGGAGGGGCTCACCCCAGCTTCATACAGCGGGTTGCTGAAGTCTGACTCCACCGTGATGGGGCTGTAGGAGTGGGAGCCTGAGAAACCAAACAGGGATTTTCCCTGGAGCCTGGAAAAGGAGGGAACAGAGAGGGTTTTATCAGCAGGTGAGACCTTAAGCTCCTCTCACCTGGGCTTGCATGCATGACATTTGCCCCAGAGGGCAGTTCCTTGGGTAGGGTACTTACTTGGTGTAGTATATGTAAACGCCACTGCCAAGGACAATGACCAAGCCGAGGGGTAGCAGGATGGCCAAGGCGAGGTTCCCACCCTCCAGCTGCCGCGATGGGTCTGTAGTCTGGGTCACTGGGGGAGGAGGAGAGGCCAGTGAGCAGATGCTGGGCCCAGTCCTGGGCTCTCCCAGCCTCCTGCCCTGGGCCCTGAACCCTGGGCCTCACCCCTCCGGGGCCTGGCCTTCTACCCCCGGCCTCTGCCTTGCCCTCCCGACCTGGCCAGGCCTGGGCCTCCACCTTGCCCTCACTGACCTTCCAGTTTTCGGTTGTCCAGGAGCTCCTCATAGGCCACTGCAGGGAGAGGAGGGGGAGGGGGACGGGGTCTGAGCCAGGGAGGGAAGGAGGCTGGGTAAAGGGTCAGAGCCCAGTGGGGCTGGGCTGGACAGCCTGGTTCTCTGCCCTTTGCTCCCTTGGTGGGGGAGAGAGGACTGATCCCGGCAGGGCCGTCTTCCTTCTCCAGACCCCTGAGGTTCAAGGTTCCTGAACATTCTGAGCCAACCAGGTCTTTAGAATTCGTCAGCGATGGGGACACTGAGACCTATCTAGAGTGGGCAAAGGACTTCCAAACCAAGGCCCCCTCTACTACATTCCTTGAGATAATTCTGTGACCTCAGATTTCCTCAGCACTCTGGACATGCCTGTGAGGATGAGCCCACAGGAAGAGAAGAGGGAGCTCAGTGGGGTCACCCATTGGTCTTGAATTTTCTATCTAACTTTCCCAGCCCTGTCAGTCCCTGGACACTGACGTGCCCCTCCTGCTCTGTCTGCCCAGGCACCTTTGCAGAGCGGGGGCTGGCTGGTCCACTGTGAGGGGTGGCCCGGCACACAGGTGATGGTGACCTCGCCGATGAGCTCAAAGCCTTCATAGCAGAAGAAGCGCAGAGACTCGCCAGCCTGGTAGTGATGCTTGTACAAGGTCTGGTAGCCATTCTCTGGAACGCCGGGGTTCAGGCACGGCTCATACTTCACTGCAGGGAGCAGGCCAGTCAACATGCCAGTGGTGTTACTGCGCAGGCCCAGCAAGGGCCTGCAGACTGTTGCCAAAGTTACCCAGCCCCCTTCCTGGAGGTTCCCCAGACTCACAGGCACACTTGGGGACCCGGTCGCTCCACTTGGGTGTGCCTGTGTCTCGGCTATAGCAGGTAAGCACGGCTGCCCCCTCCAGGCTGTACCCTGGCAGACAGCGGTACTGGACATGGGAGCCAACAGGGAAGCCAGCGTCTGAGGCCGTCCGGTGCCCGTTGGTGATCTCACCAGGGTCAGCACAAGTCATGACTGGTGGCAGAAGAGCAAGATCAGGGGGAATGAGGGCCTTAAAAGATCTACCTGGAACTTAGGGCTGGGAGAGGCCTGCACGTCAGGCCATCTCCGCTAAACAACCCCCTCCCACCTCCTGTGAATTCCTCAGAAGGAAGAGGGCGTGAATTAGAAAAATTTAATTCCATATGTTTTGGGCTTTTTTGGAAAACAGGGTGATTGGGCAACCCAATCCTGGGGTAAAATTCAAAATATTTAATCACAACACCAGAGCATGCCAGCTAAATCCCAGCATTGTCAACCCAGCGTGGCAGATCACCAGGCAGGACAGCAGCCTATCTCTCAGTTTCTTTTTTTTTTTTCTTTTATGGTACTGAGGGTTAAATTGAGGGGCTCTACCACTGAGCTACACCCCCAAGACTTCTTTATTTTTTACTCTGCGATTCTGAGACAGTATCTCACTAAATTTCTTAGGGCCTTGCTAAGTTGCTAAGGCTGGCCTTGAACTTATGATCCTCCTGAGTTGCTTGGATTACAGGCTTGTACCACCACACCTGGCTCCCCACATTCTCATTATGCCCAGTGGCTTTGCTCACTTATACAGCTTGCATTTGAGTTTACAACCCTATTGTGTAAGATCATAATCATAGTCATTTATTGTACATAAAAACGCGTGCCAGGCACCCTGATAAGTATTTTACAAACATAATATTTAACCCTGATAATCCAAACAAGTCAATGTCACTGTCCTTTCTCTTGGGGCCCAGAACTTAGCACTCTAGCCAGAATCATCTGAGCTGGAATCTGCTCAGAGACACAGCCATGAAGCACTGGACAGAGATACAGAGATGTGGGTCTCAGCTTGAGACTCTCCTGAGTCTCAGCTGGGCCAGCCCACCTCAGCCTGTATGCCCAGCATTCCAGATCTGGGGTGCCACATCAACTAGACAGTTTTCCTTGTGTCCAGTCCACTGATCTCACCATCTCCACCGTCCCAGGGGCCATGTGGAAGACCAACAATCCTACATCTTTGCAGCAGGCTTCCCAAAATTTTGAAAAAGTGAGAAGATGCTACCCCTTACTGGGCACTGTGGCCCAAACCTGCAATCTCAGTGGCTGGGGAGGCTGAGGCAGGAGGATGGCAAGTTCAAAGCCAGCCTCAGCAACTTAGCAAGGCCCTGTCTGAAATTTAAAAAAAGGAAAAAGAAAAAAAAAAAAAAAGCCACCCCTTTCTGCTCTTCTAAAAGATGCACACTCCCAGCTTCTTTAAATGTCACCTCCTTTGAAATTGGCACCATCCCTGGGAGAATTAACCCACCACTCTTCCCACAAAGCTGCTTTATCCTTAAAGCCACTACTACTCACTCACAATTTACCCCACAGCCCCGTGTGAAAACCTGACCTCCACATGCTCTTCCCAACCCCACTCCCACCTCACCCATGAGGAAGCCAAGGCTCAGAGATGGTAAGTACCTTGACCGAGCCACCCTATGGCTACTACTTTATAATGTCCTGAGTTGTTTAGGTATCTGTCCCCCTCCCAGGCTGAGAGAATGGCCAGGGTAGGGAGGGACCAGAATCCCATAATCCTGACCCAGCAGAGGGCCTCAGTGACTGCATTGAAGTAAACCAGGTACTTGGACAAGCCTTGGTCTTAGCAATGGGACTTCCCACAATGTCATCTGTTTGGAACTGAGAGCCTGTGGCCAGCTTAGAACAGAACCAAGAGGGGATAGGATGGAGCCCAGGCAGAACCTGGGAGGGGTGGGACTCAGACTCGGCAGAGGTGGGATCAAGAGAGGAAGTGGGTGGGGCCGTGAAACAATACAGTCGACTCAGGAAACCCTGGCAGAGTCCTGGTCTGTGAAACAGAGAGATGCAGCCCAGAGAAAATAAAAGCAGGAACCAGAGGGGTCCTGAATGGAGGCGTTGGACCTGAACAGGGGCAGGGCCTGAAGAAGATTCAGGCAGGAGCCAAGGGTGGAACCCAGGCAGTACAGGGACCCCAAAAAGGAAAGGGAGGGAGCAGGGTCCAAGCCAAGGGGAGAAACCCAGAGGTTGGGATGGGGCCCACAGAGGACAGGGCAGGGTCTAGCTCACTCTTTTGGCAGGCAGGTGGAGCAGCGCTCCAGGACAGGTCCCACTGACAGGTGAGAATGTCAGAGCCCAGCAGCTCGTAGCCAGGCTCACACTGGTAAGTGAGCACGGTGCCTCGAATCAGGTCCCCGTGGGACGCTGTCCTCCAGCCCCACTCGGGAGGTGGCAGCTCAGGGCAAGTGTCGTTCCTCGGGACCTCTGCAGGGGAGAGATTGAGTTTGGGGGCTGCCCTTTGATTCAGGGTGCCCTTTCCAGCCTGGGTGGCTTGACTCCAGTGCCCTCACTTGGGACCTCTGACCTCCCGGAACTCTACCCATCTCGGGGTCCCTATCCCTGTGTACCTTTGAAGTGTAATACAAAGCCCTGGCCCAGGCCCGGATTTGGGGGCCCAGGAGGTGCCTGGAATTGGAGTGTGAGGTCGGGCCCAGAGGAGAGGAGGCGACGACGTGGTTGAGGTCCCCGCAACTGAGCCAGGACACGGGCGCTGGGACCATCCCCATCGAAAAGTGTCAACATGTCCCCTTCACGCACATTCAAGCTGCAGGGAATGGGATCAGATTATAAGACGGAGCAACAACTGGTCCCTCCCATCTGGTTCTGCCCAATCCCTAACTTTGTTCATTAGTAATCCACCTACTTTCCAGCCCTGCCGCATATTCCCCCCTCCCAGGTCTGGCACAGACTTAGTTTTGAGCAATCTTGAATTTCTTCTATGCTAGTCGCTCTAGGTCCCACCGGTTCTATGGCTTCTCCCATTTCCCTCTTCCAAATCCCCAGCCTTGCTCATTACTAGTTCCACCCACTCTCCAGTCCCTCCCCCACTCCCCAGTCCCTCCTCCATCACCTTGGGACTCCCAGCTACAGCTATGATGAATCATAGACCACACTCTTTGCTACCCCTCAATCCGCTTGGTGGGCTTAAGTACCTGCTTCGGGGGCCACGCCCACTTCTGGTTCTGTCCATTCACAAGACCACCTCATATCAAATCAGCTCACTGGATTCTCCCCGCACCCACACCCACCTTGGGTGCCGGTGATGATCCAACAGTCTGGGCCTGGGTCTCTGGAAATAGCTCCAGGGGCAGCCTCAGACACCTCCAGAGTGACAGACACCAGGCAGAGCCCTTGAGGAGGGCTGCATTACCCCTCTAGTTGTCCAAGGTCACCTGGCTAATAAGTGATTTGGCCCTAGGTTTCCCATCCCATCCTGAACCCTTAGTGGTCTCTTTCACAGGACCATAATCCATGTTGATATAGAAGAGCCAGCCAGGCTCAGGATGCTAGTGCCCCACTTAGGGAACCCACCCCCATCATACCCTCTTCAGGACCCAAACATACATCTCAACTTGGAGCAAGATGCGCTTCTCTTCCTGGACGTGCATGCCCCACACGCAGTCCTGGCCGGGGCTGTAGCTCTGGGGCCAGTCGGGAGAGAGGACCACACCAGCTGGCTCTGACAGCTCCCCTCCACACATGGCTTAGGGAAGAAGAGGTGTGAGGTTTAGGACCCACAAGGGCACACAGTCTCCATTTGCAAAGGTCCTCACCACTCCCAGGGGTGTGCACCACCAGATCACTCATGTTTCCCAGTATCAATGACCCACCTGTTTCTCGCCACATCTAGATCTTGTACCCAATCTTCAGCCTTGCTCTTAACCCTGCACACTCACAAACTTACACACCCAATCCATAACTCAGTCCAACTCTGGTTCCAGCTGCTGAAGACATCTGGATTTATGAGCTCTGAATTTGGTCACAAGCCTGTCAATTATTCAGCCTAGAAAACAGCCTCTGAGAGGACAGGAATTTCCTCAGGGCTTGGCTTTACTAGGTTTGAATATGCAGGTCTCCTTCCCAAATGGACTTCCTGGGGACCCTGGTTCAGCGGGTAGTCTGAAGGACCTTGTAGGGTGTGGAGGGCTCACCCTTGCAGGCTGGTTCTGTGTCATTCCAGTGAGGTTCTGTGGGATCCACACATTCAATGGCATTGGGGGGCCCTGGAGGCTCCAGAGCATATCCTGGGAGGCATGAGAAGGTGGCCAGTGCCCCTGGGCGGTACTCAGGGTCTGTGGTAGTAACGTTGCCATGTGCCAGGAAAGGGGCGAAGCAGCGATCCTCTTCAAAGGCTAGGGAGGAATCCATCACAAAAATTAAGCATTAAGAGTGAGTGGGCTGAAGATGTGGCTTAGGGGTAGAGCATTTGCCTAGCATGTGTGAGGACCTGGGTGCTGTCCCCAGCACCACAAGGAAAGGAAAGGAAAATAAAATAAATTTAAGCATTAGGATAGGTCTCAGACCTCGATCTGGGAACTGGGACTGAATTCAGGTGTTTGGCCACTCAGTGGGTTTTTTTTAAAAATGAACTGCTCTTGGGCTTAGCTTTCAGTCCCCAATGTCAAAACCCAGAGCATTCTTCACTCACACATTTATATTGCCTCAATGGCCTTTGGAGGGAAACCCCTAGACTAGTCAAATCCCAGCCACTATTCTACAGATGAGGAGGTCCACAGCCACACAGCCACACGCCCAAGGTCACTCAGCAGGTAATGGCAGCACCAAGTCTCCAACCCAGATGGTTTGGTTCCCAGCCACAGACACGTGGCTCTTGGAACTGCAAGTGGGTGGGGGTGGGGAACAGGCCTGCGTAGGTGTGTTCTCTTCTCAAAAATAACAGTTGGATTCTGATCATCCATGCTGTTGCTAGAATCCAAAATTGCAGCTAAGGCAAAAGCTGCTCAGTTTTTACTTTGGACTAAGTCAGCAAAAAGGAATATTTGTAGGACATTCTTGTTTCTGTCCACCTGACATCTTAGCTGCAAAACTACCTGTGAGGTATGACATCAGAGCCTTATGATACAGATGGGGGATCTGACTCTCACGGAGCAGCAGTGGTTCACATCTGTGGAGGCAGGCCTCACAGCTGGAGACTGTCACCAAAAGACAGAGATCTTTGCACTTCAGTACTTTCACAATCTATCCTGTATTTTTTTTTTTTTCCTGCAGATTCACTCTTTTATTTCAATGTTACTTGAACTGATAAGGAATCATGTCCAAATCTTACCGATCCATCAGGGCCGGTGCCAATTCCATTTCTCTCATGATTCATACTAGAAACTAGTCCCCCACATCTCTGAGCATTTCTCTTTATCTCTCTCCTGATACTGTTCAGAGAAATCTTCTGCTGCAGCCACCTCGAAATCCTGTTTCCCAAACATACCAAGCACTTCTCTACCCCCTCCCCTTTTCCCCCACTATTCCATTCACCTGAGCTGCTTTTTCCTCCAGCTTCTTCTAAATTACCTTCCATCCTTTAAGACCAAGATTAAATACCTCTTCTCCCATGGCCAGCCACTGACCTTGTTTCTACCTGTCCCTCCTTTTCTCTTAAAGTCACCTTTATTTTCATTTTGAAAAACATGCCTTCCAGCCCAAGCAGTTCAGTTGGAGCCAACCATAAATGGCCACATGAGGCTAAACTGTCAATCATAACACCATCTGCCCTTAGCCACAGTGATTGGCTCAGGCAAAGGCACAGGACCTTAACCAGGTCAATGAGAGCCTTTCCTGGCATTGTTACTGAAGCTCTCAGGAAAGATATGAGCTTCCACTTTCTCTGATGGAGTTACTAGGTAGGCAGTATGAAAGTCTGCAGCTAGGTCCATCACAGGGAACGCCTACCTGAGAATGAAGCCAATGCAAAATAGCAAAGAACTGAGAGACTGAGATAACTGGTTCCTTGGCTGTGTAACTGGATCCAGCCATACATGAAGCTTAATCAGAAAAGGCTACCTCGGGGAATGAGAAGGGATCCTTTTTTGGGGGGGTAGGGGTACTGGGGATTGAACTCAGGGGCACTCAACCACTGAGCCACATCTCTGTTTTATATTTTATTTAGAGATAGGGTCTCACTGAGGCTGGCTTTGAACTCATGATCCTCCTACCTCAGCCTCTCGAGCTGCTGGGATTACAGGTGTGTGCCACCGTGCCCAGTGAGAAGGGATTCTTATGAAGGGATCTTTGTCGTTTTGGGGTGGAAAGACAAGTCAGGTTTCAGGGATCTAACCACCGAGATGAGCAGGGAGGGAGTATGTGCTTATGCCAGAAAGAGAAGGTGCAGAAGTTAGAGTCCAGTGGGGAAGCGGGACTATTACCTTCAAATCGGAGGCTGAGCAGCAGGGGATTAGCAGGCGTCTCTGAGAGCAACTCCACATAGAGGGACTGGGCGTCACTGATGAGACCACGCTCTGGGACATCATCCATGTCAGAGTCATAGATCACAGGAGATAGGGGACTGCCCCCAGAGCGCACCATCAGCCTGGGGTGGACAAAAGGTGGCCAGGAACTTCAGCAGCTACCCCACCTCTTATCTGCTCTCCAAGCTTATCTTTACAGCCACTATTATCAAACATTAACCATATGCCATGCATTCTTCTAAGCCCTTATGCATTTTATCTTGTTTAATTTTCATAAGAACCCTTGAGTCAGATACCATTATTACCCTTCATTTTATAGACGAGGATATGGAGGCATACAAATTAAGTAACCTGCCTAAGAGCACAGAGCAAGTAGTGGCAGAGCTGGGATACCAGGATACTAGATAAAGAAAAATAATGAAGACCATGAGAGCAAACACTTTCATATTATAGTGCTTATTGTGTCCTAGGCACCACCATCCCAAGTTCTGACTGTCTGTCTGTCTGTCTCTCTCTAAATATATACATATGGTATGGGGATTGAACACAGGGGTGCTTAACCACTGAGCTAAATCCCCAGCCCCCACCATATATATATATATATATATATATATATATTTTTTTTTTTTTTTTTTTTTTTTTGCACAAGGGATTGAACCCACGGGCGCTGAACCACCAAGCCTCATCCCCAGCCCTTTTTATATTTTATTTAGAGACAGGGTCTTGCTGAGTTGCTTAGGGCCTCACTAAGTTGCTGAGGCTGGCTTTGAACTTGTGATCCTCCTACCTCAGCCTCCCAAGCCACTGGGATTACAGGTGTGTGCCACTGTGCCCAGCTACTTTGCATATCTTAATTAATTTATTAATTATGCCTGTAGAGTGATACCATCTTTATTCTACAGATAAAAAATTGAGTTACAGAAGTTAGCTGATTCATCCAAGGTTGCCCAGCTACATTCCCTAAGAAATGGTTAGGATTAAACTCTGTTTCATACATATTTCAACATGGATCCAGCTCAGATCTGACTCCCCACCGTAGCCTCCCTACTTCCCCTAGGTAGGGACCTCTGATTCAAGGCCCAGACCCTCACCGGTCATTGTCCTCATCCAGCGAGACCCTCTCAAAGTGCAAGTGCAGCCGGCGTCCCTCAGCTGCTTCAATGACCCAACGGCAGGTGAGGTTAGGCCCTGCGGCTCCCCCAGGCTCAGGAGACACGATGCGGCCCAGTGTAGCATTGTGGATGGTGCCACCACAGGATGCTGTGGGCAGAGGAGGGCAGGTTAAGACCAGCTTAAGGTGACTTGTCCTTCTCCTTGGGGCCTCAGCCTTTCTCAGGGCATCTTCAGAACTTTTGCATCTACATCTTTGGGTTGGGCCAGGGATGGTCTCTGCCCCATGAATGCACTCCAGGGGGCAGGACCTTCTCCAGGGCATCACTGAAGAGGGGAACCAGGCCTGAAATAGGACCCCTCCCCCATTGGATGGACTCTCCTTGGTTGGACAACCTCCAGAATGAAGAGTCTGCTAAAATGAAGATTCCCTGAACAGGGACACCCTGTAACTGTGAGTTATGGGAATCCCCCAAATTGAAACTCCCAGATGAGAGACGTTCAAGATGGGAATTCCCAGAATAAGGACTCCACAGGATGGGAGATCATAGGAGGAAGACTCTCCAGGAGAGAGAACCACCAGAGATGGACCCCAAGAATGGCTTCCTCCAGGATGAGGGCTCTCCAAAGAAAGAAGAGCCATCCCAAGAGGGAGAATACCCAAGAATGGAGGTTCTAAGGATAGAATCCTCAGTGGGAAGAACTCCCGAGGGATGCCAAAGGAGAGGGACTCTTCAGAAAAGAAACCCCTTCAGGATGAGTTTTTCCTAAAGACAGAGACTTCTACAAACGGACTCTCCCAATGAGGTTCCCAGAAAAGAAGCCCCCAACTCTTATGGCAGAGACTCACCCATGCAGCTAGGGGGCTCTCCATTCCAGGCTGGCCGGGTGCCATTGAGGCAGATGAGAGTCTCCTCACCCTGCAGCTGGTAGCCGGAATCACAGTGGAAGGTGGCAGTGCCACCAGGGTGTAGATCTGTCACACTGACATCCCCATGGGCCGGCCGGGGAGGGAAGCCACAGCTCAGGAGGTAGGCTGAACCAGGAAGAACAGGGAGAAGGAGGATCCATTGTTCATGTCACCCTCTACAGCAGTCCCCCAGCACTTTCCCAGGAGACACAGTCAGGCTGTATAATGGGGTCCGCACTGAAGAATATGAGCTCCTTACACAGGTTCCCTGTCTCATGAAGAAGCCATTTCATCTCCTCTGATCTTTGTAATTTGCCCATTTTGGCCTCCATTTTATAGATGAGGTAACTGAGGCTCAAAGATGTTATTCTGAAGATGGACATCATTCCCTTAAGTACATGTATGAAGATATGAATGGTGTGAATATACTTTGTATACAACCAGAGATATGAAAAATTGTTCTCTATATGTGTAATATGAACTGTAATGCATTCTGCTGTCATATATAACAAATTGGAATAAAAAATAAAAGATTAAAAAAACAAAGATGTTATTCTGGACCCACTGGCTATGTGGCCTCAGGTAAATCAATTGACTATTTCAAACTCCATCCAGCTCTAAGAATAACAAACAATATTTGCAGAGCTAATTTAGCTTCCCAAGTAACTACGTGCAGTACTTTTGAGGTAGACAAGAGAAACTGTGTTACCCATTTTCCAGATGTAGAAATTGAGGCTCCAATTTACTAATTGACATGAAATTTCTTTAAGAATCTTGACTATTTGGTAATTAAAGATCTTTATATTCAGTGTTCCCTGAACACATTCTCTAATGAAAATGAAGTGCTATGGAAAGCTTTGCTTTCTTTGAAAATCTGGTTTTCCTTTCTTGTAGTAAGAACTGCATAACTTCCCTTTTTGCACTAGCTACTAGAAAGCTGGGAACAAGATTAAGGCTTGTCCTTAGCAACACTGACTTGTCAACTCACGTTTTTGTTCTGTTTTGTTTTTTTCCTGGTACTGAAGATTGAACCAAGGGATACTGTACCACTTAGCTACATTCCCAGCCCTTTTAAAAAATTATTTTCCTTTTGAGATAGGAACTTGCTAAGTTGCTAAGGCTGGCCTCAAACTTGGTGATCCTCTCCCCAGCTGCTGGGATTATAGAAATGTGCTAGCATCTGGCCCAATCCTTTTAATTTTTAATTTTGAGACAGGGTCTTGCTAAGTTGTTTAAGTTGGCCTTGAACCTGCCATCCTCTTGCCTCAGCCTCTGCAGTCACTTTGATTACAGGCATGTGTCACCATGCCTGGCCTATTTTTTTTTTTGTAACTCTAATAATCATTCTCTGATGCGGTTTACCCCTTACTTATTCTATATAATTGTATTGCTTGCATTCTTTTTGAAAGTCACTTGAAATTCTCACAGAAGCAAGAATAAAATAGAATTCAATAGAAAGTCAGTTGTTAGTCAATGATTCTGAATCTGATCCTGACAGGAACTTAGCAGAGATCATCAAGGAGGGCTTCCTGGAGGAAGTGAGCCAAAGCTGGAGGGGCAGTCTCTGGTGAGCAGGGGGCTTGGGAGATGCCCGTTTGCCTGCCTGAGCTCTTGCCCTTCTTTGCTCTCCAGCCCTCAGTGAGTCTGTAAGAGACCTACCTCTCCATATTTCAAAATTCAATAAGCTCTTTCTTGGCCAGGTTGTGGGGACAGAGAGGAGGAGAAAAAGATTCAGTCCTTGCCCTTCAGGAGTCTATAGTCTACTGAGATAGACAGTTATAAAAACCATCTTTTAGAATACAGGGGCTTTCATAGTTGTTAGCTTCTCCATGACCAACAGAATCAAGTCCGAATGCTTTGGATTGACATCCAAACCCCTTCCACGGCTGCATCCCGCTCAGCACTTTTGTGTCAGCACTTGAGACCCGGGTGTCCTATTCAACACCTTTGTGACTCTTTACTGTCCCACCACCATATTTTTGCTCACAATTGTGCCCCTACTACAAAGCCCATTCTGGGCTCTTATCTTTCAAAGAGTAACTCAAGTCAGGTGTGGTGGTGTATACCTATAATCCCAGTGGCTCAGGAGGCTGAAGCAGGAGGATCCCAAATTCAGTCAGCCTCAGCAAGTTAGTGAGGACCCCAGTAACTTAGTGAGTCCCTGTCTCAGACTAAAAAATAAAAAGGGTGGGGATGTGGCTCAGTGGTTAAGTGCCCCTGGGATCAATCTCTGTTACAAAAAAAAAAAAAAAAAGAAAAGAAAAAGAAAAACTAACTTAAGTACCACCCCTTCCAGGATTCCAGGAAGACTTCCTGACCCCTCTTGCCTCCAACATTTACTTTCTTTCTTGCCTATACACAATTTCATATTCGAATTTTACCATCATATTAGTCATTGTCTATTGTTACTATGAGACTGAGTCAAGTCTTTTTTTCTTATATTTTTTAGTTACACATGGACACAATATCTTTATTTTAGTTATTTTTATGTGGTGCTGAGTATCGAACCCAGTGCATCACATGTGCAAGGCAAGCGCTCTACTACTGAGCCACCACCCCAGCCTGAGTCAAGTCTTATTTATAGATACACATAAAAACCTAGTCTAACTGATCAACTTGGAGACTGGCTGACCTGGGTTCCAGTTCTAGCTCCACAGCTTATAGCTATATGACTGAGCAAGTGACTTCACCACCGGGGGCTTCTCACTCATTAATGGTAATAATTGTTAACAGTGAAGATTGGCTTGAAAATTAGATAAAAGAAACATGCAAATCCCCTGGCACTCAGAAAATGTTAGTCACCTCTCCCTTAGCCTCAATTAATGTATGATTGAGAGTCAAGAATTTAGAGATCTGATTGTTGACTCTGTGATGAACTTGCAGGTGGGTGACAAATTCATACAAACCTTCTTTCCTGAGAGACTGAACTGACAGTGTCAACTCCCAGGGTTGCTCTTAGGAGTAAATGAAACAATGGTAGGTAAAAGGGGTTTGTACTTAGCACATCTTTTTATGGGGGAGGGTACTGGGAAATGAACCCAGGGGTGCTTAACCCCTGAGCTACATCCCCAGCCCTTTTTATTTTTTTTATTTTGAGACAGGGTCTCACTAAGTTCCTTAGGGGCTTGCTAAATTGCTGAGGTTGGCCTTGAACTTCCTGCCTCAGCCTCCTGAGTTGCTGGGATTATAGCATGCACCACCATACCCAGCTACACAGAAAGTCTGACGGACTTGGATGAAGGGTGATAAAGCCTTTGACCCTTTTGGAATTGATAATGAGGCCACTCTGGACTACAGGCCCCAGTTAATGCAGTTAAGGAAGGACTTAAACAGGGCCTCATTCCCAGAGGTGCCTGGAGGAATTGCAAAGCAGGGAAGATGGAGGCAGGTAATGAAGGCCAATTTATGCAATAGCCCTGCTTCCCCAAATGTTCCATTTAGCCTAAAGAGTCCTATTTTCAAAGCTCCCGGGAAGTGGATGTTTAAAGGAGCCACTGGGGAGCCATTTTTGTAACATCTCAGGTGTGCTCTTGTTCCCCAATAACAGAATTCCTACCACCAAGTATGTGCCCTAGCTCCCTGATCTCTCCACAAATAGGCCTGGTGGTGGTGGATGCTTCTACCTTGCACAATGTGCCCTGGGGCAGGTCCTGTGCAGAGGACATAAGGAAGGGATATGGGTCGTGTCCTGTAAGATGTACAAAGTATCTGGGGTCAGCAAAGCTTATAAGGTGCGTATGGTACATGCAGCCAGGTAAAACCATGAAATGATATGATGGTGGAATTGGTCCAACAGACAGTTCTCTCTCTGTTCCTGAGGAGCACAGGGAGGGAACTTGAATAAGACAGCAGTGTTTGGAATGGGGACACTGGCTGAGCCCTTTGCCTGGTGCATGCATGTATGTTAGAACATACACTTGCACTGTGGGAAGATCCCTGTAGACACAGGTTAGCATGGATACACACATGTATAGAAGATCTGTGGATGGATGCTCAAGAATGCAGTCACACATGATATATTCTCTGTCTTTGCTCCCACAAATCAGATGGAACTTTCTAGATCACAAACATGAGACTGTCATTTCCCTGCTTAAAATGTTTCTAGTGTTTCCCTCTCACCTGCAGGTTAAAGTGGTCTCAATTCCTTATGAGCTGATAAGGCCCTTTATGATCTGAACCCAACCTGACTCCCAACCTGGTCTCTTAACCCATTTCTCCCTTTCCACTTTTTGTGCTTTGACTATAATAGTAATGAGTGATTTTTTTTTTTTTTTTTGTACTGGAGATTGAATGCAGGGGCATTTAACCACCGAGGCACATCCCCAGCCCTTTTTATTTTTTGAGACAGGGCCTCACTAAATTGCTTAGGGCCTTGCTAAATTGCTGAGGCTGACCTTGAACTTGAGTCCTCCTGCTTCAGCCTCCCAAATTGCTGGGATTACAGGAGTATGGCATTGCACCTGGAAATGACTGATGTTTTTGAGCTCTCACTATGTACCAGACACTGTTATAAAGTACTGTATCAACTCACTGGATCTTCCCAATAATATCGTGTGTTAAATTTTCTGATCCCTATCTTTCAGATGAGATCATGAATCACAGAATGTTTAAGTATATTGTCTCAGGTCAGACAGCTAGAACAATTCTATCTTCCATGTTAAATGACTTCATCTTCTCTAGAGGTCAATTTTCTCTCCTCTCTGAATCCTGGGGTGTACTTTTACATTCATCTATTTTCAAAGACAGTTGTCTCCCTCTTTTTCTTCCTTCACCTGTCCCCTTGCTAACTCATCCAGTGGGTCCTAGCTTAGTCATCCTGCTCTAGGTCTTTTGATATTTGCTTCTCCTATCTCATCATAACCCTTATTTCATTGAATCATAATCACTCTGATTACTTAACTATCTCTCTAGACAGATTCCGAGTTCCTTAAATTCAGATTTATACCTGATTCATTCATTCTTTCCCCTAAGTTGAATGGATCAATTGCTACTTGGATATGTGTACACCTAGGCACATATCTGTGAGTGTGTGAGATAAGTGTGCATGGGTCTTTCTGAGGACTCTGCCCACCTAGGGTCCTAGTCAAGAGGAAACCTCCTCCTCAATACTCTGTGCTTAGGAGGCCACCAGAGATGTCCCTTATACCCAATGTGGCCCCTGCCCTTCCACCAGCATCCCCAGACTCCTCACCCTGATAGTGGATTCTGAAGCCACCACCCCTTGGGACCCGTGGACTCTGGAAGTGCAGGAGCAGTCGATTGGTTGGGCTTCGAAGAACCTGTCCTTCTCCCATCATGGAGGAGTTAGCAAGGAGTCGGGGGGCCAGTCCTGGGGACCCCCCACCAGCCAGCACCAGGAGTTCCTCCTCCTGAGACAGGTTCAGTGTCTGCACCTAGAAAAGCCAGTCATAGGCCAGGGCAAGTCAGCCTGGGGAAAGTGGCTCCCTAAGCCCTCTCCCCTTGCCTTCCCTTTCCCAGTCCATAGCGACCCCACCCAGACCACAGGGATGTTGCCCATTTTGAAGAACTCTAGAAGGGTTTCTGAGATTATCTGAGTCAGAAAACAGGCCCATCTGAGTCAGAATACTGGTTTTCTGGCTTCCCAGCTAAAACGATGCACACCACTGAGCCCAGAGAAAAGGGATTGGAAGTTTCACAGTAATACGCTTAGGTCCAGTTACCTGGATTTCAATGCCGTAGCCAGGGTAGACATGGATGCTGTATGTGCAGTCTAGGAGCCCCAAGGTGCGGCTGGCAGTGCTCCCCAAATCTGGAGACTCCACGTACCCTTCACCCTCGGAGATGTTGTTATTACACAGAACTAAAGAGATATAAGTGGCTGGGATTGAGAGAGGCCCTGTGCTCTTGCCCTCCCAGCCAAACAACTCCACAGGTCCTCATCTGTCTTCTCCCCAGCATCCCTCACCATCTTTATTCAATGCTCTCTCTCCCACCTGTACTGAGAGCTCCTTTACCCAACTGTAATATAGACAGAAGACATAGAATGGCACCTGGCACATAGTAAGTGTATATAAATATTAGCTTTTGTCATTATTAAGCAGAAGCTCCTCTCCCATCTGGACCCAGAGCCCCTTCATCCACATGCTCCAGGCGACCTTTCCCCATCCATCCTGGCATCCTCCTCTCCCACATCCGTGCTCCTGGACAGTACCCCCATCCCCTTTCCATGGCCTCACCTGGGCTGGTGACTGTAGTGGTGACAGTTGTCGTGGTGATGATGGTAGTGGTGGTCTCCTCCTCTCCTCCCTCAGGCCCGAGGGGCGGGAATGGGGAGGCGGGGCCGGGAGGGGGTGGGGCCGTAGTTCCTGGGGGCGGGGTCAGTAGCTCCGGCGCGGTGGGGCCTGCCCCCCTGACCCCCTTAGGGGTTACAGCTGTTGTCAGAGGCCCTGTCCCCGGCTCTGTGGCCCGTGGCAGGAAGGGTGCTGCAAGTGTCTGGCCGGCTGGAGGGGTGGCTAGTGTGGGGTCTGGATCAGATCCTGGGACAGTGCAAGGGAAGTCAGGCACAGGAGCAGCAAATTGGCTGGCGGAAGGGTGAGGTGCTGTGGGGGGTGGGAGGATGTTGGGGGGTGGGCAGGAGCAAGGCTGAGGGAAACAGGGGTTCCCGTAATGAACCCTAAGGGACTCCACCACAAAGTAAAGCCCCCACCCTTAACCTTGCCCACCCAAACTCCCCACCTCTTCCCAAGTTTTCACAGCTGACCCTTCTTTCTCTCTCCACCCAGGCCCCGCCCCCTTAGTCTTCTAGCACTTCTCCCTGTCCCCCATTCAAATCTGGTTCTCTCGGTTACCCCTTTCTCTCTTCTCTGTTTTGCTTTCTCTGGAGCTCTTTATTTCTGATTAGTATTACTAATGTTCTCTGATTTTACGATCCTGGATCTACTGGAATCTGCTAGTTTTTGTATTTCCTCTTTCTGTTCTACCATTTCTCTAACTTCAGTTCTCTGAATTCCATCTATCTTTCTGTGTGTCTTTTTCCTGTCTCTTAGTCGTCCTGTTTCTATTTCTCTGGTTCTGTCAATGCCAAGTTTTGACTTTTTCTTCAACTGCCTGCCTCTGAGTTTCACTCATCTTTTGGGGGGGTCTCTGCAGTCTCTCTTTGTCTGCTTCTCTTTCTTGGTCCTGGCTCCCATCTTCCCAAGCCAATGTCTCTCACTTTGCCTTTATGTCATTTCTGCCCATTTGCAGGCCTCACCCGGCAAATAGCCCATCTCTGGGCCCCTTCTCAGCAGGGCCCCATGGATCAGCTCAGCCAGGGCCTCAGAGGCCACTGTGGGGGCCTCACTTCCAGGCTCTGGCAGCGCCTCCTCCTCCTTCAGGGGCAGACCTAGGAGGTGAAATTGTGTGAGCCTCTCCACTCCCCCACATCCCTTCCTTCTCCAGAGAGATCTTTTCCAGAGCTTCCTTGTCAGATGGGCCTGCACGGGCTCAGAGGGTCCCAGACTGGGCTGAGAGCCAAGATCAGGGGAGAAACTCCCAGCTGCCAGCTGCCCCTCACACTCTACACCTCCTCTCTCTCCACTGCCAGGGCTGTGTGGGCCTTCATGAGCATGTCAGCTCTTGTGAACCCTGGACAGCGCCTACAGGGCCAAGCAGGGGCTTTGAGGCTGCCTTTCTTACTTCTCAGTGGCGCTCTCCCCAACCCTGGGGCTCTCTGAAGGGTCTGGAGGCACCTTGCAGCCCTTGCTTCCGCAGTGCCCAGCTTTCTCTCTGGGTTTCTGTCTCTGCAGTGTAGCTGTCTTCTCTCTCTCTCTCTCTCTCTCTCTCTCTCTCTCTCTCTCTCTCTGCAGTCGCTGCCTCTTTCCCTAGAATCTGACTGGGGGTCAGAGCGAAGTAGGGGACTGAATATGAATATCTGGTCTCTCACTATGCCTCTCTGTTCATCTGTTTTTGTCCATATGTCCAAGAACATTTGTGTGTGCAGCAACTGGCGTCTCTCCCAGCCCCTCCATCTCCCACCCAGGTACCCTGCATGCTTCTGCCGCCTCCGCAGACATCCCCCCAACTTCCCCAGCCCTCCTTCCCGTGGTTAACCCCTAAGATGCTACTAAAAGCTTCCCTTGTTCATTTCCCCACCTTCTCAACATTGAGGGTTAAGGGACTAAAGGTACTAGCCGGAAAGCTCTGGCTTGCCCCTTCCCAATCAGTTGTGCCCCTCCCCTCCCCCCGCGAGCTCAGAAGACGCAAGATGTTAAGAGAAAGAAGGTGGAGGACTCTGCTGGGGACCTTCCCGGAGTCCACCCCCACCCCCTCTTGTCCTTACCCTGAATCCAGGGACAGCTCAGCAGAATTAGGAACAGCAGCTGGGGAGGCGGTGGGTGCTGGGCCTTGGGAGTCCCCATGGCGACTCACCCCAATTTCTCTCCTCTGTGCCTCTCCTAAATAATCTAGTTGCCACTTTTCCTCCGTGTCCTTTTATCTTTCTCCTTAATTTTGTTTTCCTGCTGGAGGTCAGCAATGGAAGACAATTTCTCTGCTCCTTGAGATGGAGGGACAGAATTGGGCTAGAGGTTGCCTGGAGTCCACCCCTTTTTGCTTAATCTCTGTCCTCTGCTCCTGGATCCGTGGTAGAGGGGGGCGCGGCTCCGGCTGGAGGGGGTGGGGCCGAGAGGGCCGAAGGTTACCCTCTTGTTCGGGCGCCTGGGTCCACCGGGCTGGCTGTATCCCAAGCGGGGGAGTGGGGAGGGGAAATACAGCTTCCGGGGGGTCTAGGGTGGGGTTGAGGATGGGGAGGGTCCCTAAGGGGCTCTAGCGGGGCTTGTCGGGGAGGGGAAGGGGTTGCGGAACCCGGAGAGCCGAAGCTCGGGCACTGAAGCTGCGGGAGGGAGAAGCTGAGAAAGGTGTCGAGCCCACGTCAGATCCTGGGGACGGGAGAAGGGAGGGGCCTGGGATTTATTTGCGGAGGAGGGAGGAGGAGGAAGTGCAGATGGTGGAAGGAGGGATCAGGAGCCAAGACCGTAATACTCACTCCCGCGGCCCCTAGGGGAGGCAAAGGAAACTCTTCAGTCCCAGCAGTAATTAGGCCCCCTCCCCCCGCCATTCCAGCACATCTGGAATCTGAATTTCCTCTTCCCAGGGCGCCAAGGAGCGGCACAGCTTGGTTCGCTCCTGTTTGGTCCTCCAATATGCCCTCTGTCCACTACCCGATCCCCCATTGGACTTTCCCCTTTGCATTTTACAGAAAAACTCAGATGAGATGGGCCTTCCCCTCCCGCAGGAAAACAGCGAGTTTCCATGTTTGTGAAACGTCTAAGGGGTGATCTGGAAAGGAGAGACCCTTTCTCTTACAACACAACCCCGGCCAGCTGCCAGGCAGCTTCAACTGGTCTCCCTCGCCACGCTTAGGGAGCGCCCTTTTCAGCACCACCAGCGCGCGGACAGCTCTTCTCGGCCCCGCCTGCGTCCGCCTGCCCTCGGCTTGGCGGGCATTGGCTGAAGCCGCTTTCACTAACGTTCGGGCTCCCGGCGTGGGCTGGCTCTTGTGAAGGCCAAGGGGGAGGAGGAGTCACAGGCTGACTACTCGAGGGACTCGCAGACCCACTGACTGGCGGTGGCCTCCCTGCCGGCAGTCCCTGAGCCCCGGCAGAGTCAGTCAGTCCCTGCTCTCGCTCCACCCCCTGGGTTAGCCCCGCCCCCATCCAGACCCCGCCCCTCCTTTTCGCATTGCGGGGCTGCGGGAGGTTGGCACAGTGCCCCCTGTGCCCCACGTGGCGCCAGGTCCGGGCTGTGGGGGGCAGGGAGGCAAATCCAGAGCTGAGTTACCCCTCCCCCAGAGCTGAGTCGCGTTGCCACTGGGAGGGGTCGGAGATAGCTAAGCTGGGAGGGCTGCGGGAAGGAGTGACGTCAGGGTGAGTGGGAGCCAAGGAAGGAGCGAGTAGGAGAGAGGGAACGAGAGAGAGGCAAGACCAGCGGGTCGGGTCGAGTGAGGAGCGAGGGCAAGAAGGAGAGAAGAGGGAGGAAGGAGAGAGAGAGGCCACCACGGAGGAAGACAGGCTGCGGGGTCCTGGGCTGCGGGTCCAGGCGGGGTAGGAACGGCTGGCTGTCCGGGGAAGCTAGAAGGGAAAGGGAGGGCGAGCTAAAGAAGGAGCGGGGGTGGAGGGAGAAGAAAAGAGGGGAGAGTGGAAGACTGAGGGTGGAGAGAGGCAGAGGGAGAGGAGACTGCCCGAGGAGAAGGAAGAGAGAGGGAGAGAAGGGCGATAGAGGAGAAAGGAGGAGAGCGATAGAGGGAGGGGAGACAACTGAATGGAGGAAGGAGAGGAGAGAGCGAGCTAGGAGGCTCCTAGCACCTGAAGGAGGGGAGAGAGAGGTGGAGGGGAGAGAGAGGTGCAAAGTAGAGAGGAGACATCAGAGAGGCCAAAGAACCAGGAGAGGGGATGTGGAAGGGAAACTGCCCAGGGGGGGACCAGGAAGCAGCCATTGAGGGGCCAGGTGGAGAGCTGGGGGGACCAGGAAACTGGGGTCTGGAAGATGCCCCAGACCTCTTGGCCAGGGCCTCCCTGCCTGTTATGCTTCCATGGCCTCTGCCCCTGGCCTCCTCGGCCCTTACCTTGCTCCTCGGAGCCCTCACTTCCCTGTTCCTCTGGTACTGCTACCGGCTGGGTTCCCAAGACATACAGGCTCTGGGGGCTGGGAGCCAGGCTGGAGGTGTTAGTGGTGGGCCTAGGGGATGCCCTGAGGTTGGCAGACCAGGCCCAAGGAGCCCTGGGGAGCCTGGAGAAGGACCCAGAGCAGAAGGCCTAGTGAGCCGTCGACTTCGGGCCTATGCCAGGCGCTACTCATGGGCTGGCATGGGTAGGGTGAGGCGGGCAGCTCAGGGTGGCCCAGGCCTCGGAGGAGGGCCAGGTATCCTGGGCATTCAGCGCCCAGGCCTGTTTTTTCTACCAGACCTGCCTTCAGCCCCCTTTGTGCCACGGGATGCCCAACGGCATGATGTGGAACTCTTAGAAAGCAGCTTCCCTGCCATTTTGCGGGACTTTGGGGCTGTGAGCTGGGACTTCTCAGGGACTACCCCTCTGCCTCGGGGCTGGTCCCCACCCCTAGCCCCTGGGTGCTACCAGCTCCTGCTGTACCAAGCAGGCCGGTGCCAACCCAGCAACTGCCGACGGTGCCCGGGAGCCTATAGGGCACTGAGAGGGCTGCGGAGCTTTATGAGTGCCAACACCTTCGGCAATGCTGGCTTTTCTGTCCTTCTACCTGGGGCCCGGCTCGAGGGCCGCTGTGGGCCCACCAACGCTCGGGTTAGATGCCATCTGGGTAAGTAAATCCTGCCTTTAGACAACTTCCTTGCTTCTACAGTGCCTCATCCAGACCTGCTTCTCAGCTGATGAACCTTTCTGCTATGAATTTTCCTCATGCCTTTCTTCTCAGAATCTTCTATTATTCATTATTGCCCACAGGGCACTTTACCACTGAACCACATTCCCAGTCCTTTTTTTTTTTGTATTTTATTTTGATATAGCGTCTTGTTAAATTGTTTAAGTTGCTGAGGTTGGCTTTGAACTTGCGATCCCCCAGCCTCAGCCTCCCCAGCTGCTGGGATTACAAGCATGCACTGTGGTGTCCGGCCACAGTAGCATTTTCTGAGCTTCACTTCTCTGCAAACCATCTTCATAACCTCTACCATAGTCATTTAGCCCCAGTATGATGTTTCTTCACATTGACTCTCCTGCCACCTTTGGTTTTAATTATTTAATGAAAAGCAATCTTTATAGAATTGTGATCATCAGTATTTCTTACTCTACATAGAAAGTACTCATAACATAAAATTTAAATTAAAAAAAAAAAGAGGGCTGGGGTTGTGGCTCAGTGCCTACCACGTGGGAGGCACCGGGTTCAATACTCAGCACCACATAAAAATAAAATATTGTGTCCACCTATAACTAAAATATAAATAAAGAAAAAAGAAAGCCTTAAACATTTTAGTTAAATACTCCAGTCACTCCAAGCCTGGGGCCTCTATTTTCTTCATCGAAAAGGTATCAATATTAGTAAGGTGTTAAAGCTCCAGGAGCACCAGCCTGAGATTTTTAATATATTTTTGTAGTTGTGGATGGATATAATACCTTTATTTTATTTATTTATCTTTATATGGTGCTGAGGATCAAACCCAGGCCTCACGCGTGCTAGGCAAGTGCTCTACCACTGAGCCACAACCCCAGCCTCTGAGACTTTCTTTTTGATGTTTTGAAGATTGAAAGAAAATGGAAATCAACTTCTGATTGTTACTGTATGCCATGACCTTGTTTCACCTAAAAGCATCTCCTTGCAGCCAGTTGGATGTGTCCTATACTTTGGGGCAGGCTGACCTCAGGACTAAGTCCAGATCCTTCCTCTCCTTCCTCCCACCATACTGTAAATCATGAAGGCTTTCTGGCTGATTCAGGCAGATGTCACATACTGTTGAACTTCTAACCTAGAAAGCGTTCCTCCTTATCATTGCCTAGAAGACTCCTACCCAGCCTTTGGGAGTATTTTCAAATCCTGGGCCTCCTCTGGGATGCCTGCCTATTGTCCATCATTTAAGTAGGTCTCATTTTTTTCCACCATGCCCAACTGTATGATCCTTGGGCCAGGATGGACTCCTTAGTTGTATCTTGTGAGGAGACTGTGCCTGCAGATAGTGGGTTCTTGAGGTGAATTGTCAGGAAACCAAGAAGGAGATGCCATTTGCTCCAGGAAGCTTTCTTTATTCTCTAAAAATGATAGATTATGCTTTCCACAGAAGCACTTCTGTGATCTCCTGGCACTTCTTCCATCTGGTGCTTTGTTGATTATACTCCAATCACCAACCAGAGAGCAAGGAGGGACCACCACAGAACCTGGCCTTTAGATCTGCTGACTGAGCAGAGTGGGCGCCTTGGGCAGAAGCAGAGGAGTTAAATGCCTGGTCTGTTCCCACAGGTGTGAAGATCCCCCCTGGCTGTGAGCTGGTGGTTGGGGGTGAGCCCCAGTGCTGGGCTGAGGGGCACTGTCTCCTGGTGGATGACTCCTTCCTGTACACAGTGGCTCATAATGGTAATGGGGCCTCCTCTCTACTGAGGGTGGGGGTGAGGATGAAAGAGTGAAGGAGACTTAGAGGGCTGCAGAATCAGGCCCAGCTGACTTCCTGTCCCAGCACCACCAATTCTCAACTGCATGATCTTGAGTGAGTCACATAACTCCAATCACCTATGTGGCAACTGCCCTTTTTTTTTTTTTCTCTTGGCACAGGGGATAGAATCCAGGGGCACTCTACCACTGATGGATATCTCAGCTCTTCCTTAAAATTTTGAGACGGGGTCTCACTAAGTTGTGGAGGCTGGCCTTCAAATTGTGATCCTCCTTTAGTCTCCCAAATTGCTGGGATTATAAACTGCCTTTTCATTTTTTAATAAAGCAATCACAGGTTAAATAAGTTAATGGAGGTACATACAAAATAGCTCACAGCACAGGACTTCAGGTCTGGATCACCTGGGCTTCTCTCCTCCCTCTACATTTTGGGGTCAGATATTGGGAAAATCATTTAAGCTTATTATACCTTAGTTGCTTTGTATAACCACGGAGCTACCTCATAATTTGTTTTGGTGATTAAGAGTTCATACATATAAAGGGCTAGAACAGAGGTTGGCACCTATATACTCTTTTGAGTCTCTAGTGAGTGCTTCATGTCAGCTGCTGTTCTGTTTCTATCCTCATGTGCCCTAGGTTCCCCTGAAGATGGGCCTAGAGTAGTCTTCATTGTGGACCTCTGGCACCCCAACGTGGCTGGGGCTGAACGTCAGGCACTCGATTTTGTCTTCGCACCAGACCCTTGAAGGAAGGTGTTCCCTTCAGACACCTGACTCGAGAGATGCTTTAGTGGCAGCCAGGACCACCTCCTCTGTGAGGGTTGGGAGGGGGCTGTGGATGGCCAGTAAGTGCTGAAATATAAATTTTGAACCCTTTCCTAACTCCTGTGTACTTCCTTCCCAGCTACCAGCCTCAGGGAGGGCTTGGGGCGGAACTCCTGCCTTCTGCCATACAACTAGCCAGGCATCACCTAACACAAGCCGTCTCCCCATTCCTCTCCCTGGGTGAACCAGCAGCAGGCTTTCAACTCAACTTTATTCCAATAATTTAATATAAAATTAAAATAATAAATAATATGAAACAGATCAAGAAGATAGCCAAGCTGGCAACAGCCCAGGCCAGCCTAGTACGAAGTTAAGGAGGTAGGGAAAATGGTGGGGAGGGAGGGAAGCAGAGTACCTTGCACAGTGGTGGGAGGTGGCTCAGAACATGGTGGATGTTGCTAAGGACTGGCTCAACACTTAGGTGTGTACACTGTACTAAAAAAAGAGAAAGGGGATTCTAAGTTCTTCTAAACCATCTGGTGAAGGAAAGATCGCAGGACAAGAATGGGGAGGAGGGGCCTTCTGAAGGGCTCTGCCTGAGGGGAGGGGCTGGAATGTACAACTGTTAGCAGTGAGTGAACATGAACGGAAAAGGGTGCAAGTGAACTGTACTATGCAACGAAGGGACAGAAGACCCACGACTTGGCCAGCAGAGCCGGGGCAAAGGTCTGGGGACGGGAGAAAAATAAGAGGTATGGATGGGTCCCAGGAGGAAGGCAGGGGAAGGGTCAAAAGTCAGTCCTTGAAAACAATCTGTTGGCCATGAGGACGCTCATCGTGGGTGATATGGCGCCTGACGTGGATCCTGCGGACACGGTGCTCTCGGTTCTCTTCATCTTCCCCTCGGCCTGCCCCACCACCTCCAGATGCACCCCCTGTGGCCTCAAGGAGGGCTGGGTCTGGGTCCCGGGGAGTCTCATATATGAGGATGTTCAGGGTCTCCTCGAAGATCCGGGCCTCTGGGAATTCCACCTGCAAAAAGCCATCAATCTCCCCACTCCTACCCTCTGGTCCAGTCCCATAGTCCCTGTCCCCCACAGCTCCTGCACTCATGTGCCTCCCAGCCTCTGCAGTCAGGTTCTCGGGCCTGGACTGTCCCCTCTGCAACTTCTTTACCTGGCAAACTCATACTCCAAGCTCTGAAGCCTAATGAGTGACTGCACTACGCTAGGTATTGTTATAGGAATGGGGAATATGACAGCGAACAGAACACAAAAGTTCCTGCCCTTGGCATGTCTCCATTCTAGGAGGAGGACTCAGACATACGCTCAAAACATAACCTAAGTCAGATGATGACAAATGTTATGCAAAAACACATCAAGAAAAGGGAAGGAGATTGGCCATGGCCAGTGTGACATCTTTCAAGAGGGAGTTTAGGGATATCACTGAAGGGTATATCTAACCAAAGCATGGGAGGGAGGCAGACCAGGGACAGCTAGAGAAAGCAGGCTGGGGAGTGGCAATGGCACCCAGGTCAGTGGTATGCCTAGTGGATTATTCAAAGATCAACAAGGAGGCCAATGCCATTGAGGCAGAGTGATGAACGGAAGTACACAGAAACAAAGTCAAGAAGTTGTTGGGGTACTCCACTCGTGTGGCCTTGGAAGGATATAATGTACGTAGCTCTGAACAAGTTGTATTCTAATTATTGGTTTATCTTCCTTTCTTCCCAATTGCAGAAGAAACCTTCAAAAAGCTGAGTCATTCATTCACTCATGCATTCCATCAATGTTTCCTACCTGTGTAACAAGGGCCAGGCTAGTGTTGGGGACACAGGAAAGAAAAAGGCAAAGAATTGCCTGGCCACTGAAGCAGCCCCCATTTCCACACCCATACACTATCATAAATGCTATCTCCAGCTAAGAAGGGAGTGTGACCAACTTTGAGATGGTTGGATTCAAAATTCATGAGCAAAGGTGTCCCAAGGAAAATGATGCTTGGCTTGGGTCTTAATGGTTAGGTACAGGTTCATTAAGTAGAAAGGGACAGGGAAAAAAAAATTCCAAAAAGAATGTGTGCAGAGGTAGGAGGTGTGAAGTGGCTTTGGGGAGTACCCAGGGCATAGCCTCATATTAAGTTCAGAAGGAACAGGTGAAGAAGGGCTTGCTCATTACTCAGCTTATCCTCCTCTGCGGTTCCGAGTCTGGTGCAGTGTTTAGTGCAGAGCAGGTGCTTGAGAAACATTTGCTGATGACTGTCATGTTCATGACTCAGAATCTACAAACTCAGATGTGTTCCATGTGAGACCATGTGGTCCTCAGGTTTTAAGAAACTTTTGTGGATAATAGATCCTTCTGAAATTCTAAAGACAACCATGGACCTTCTAGACAGAAAAATGTACACACCTCCAAACCTGCAAACTATTGCCGGGGATGCAGAGGTTAAGAACCCTGCTCTATGAGATGCCCTGAGTTCAATCCTCAGCACAGAAGACAACCCTGCTCTAAACCAACACCTTCATTTTACAGAGAAAGAAAGAGACCACTGAAGTAAGATGACCTGCCCAAGTTACACAGCCAAGGCCCCAGAACTCTGGCCCCTGACTCCAACTGAAGGACTCTCCCTGCCCCATCAGCTAAGCTGCCTCTGTCCAGAGTCCTGGTTCTACCCACCCTCATGCCTCCCTGACCAGTCCTGGAACCCCTCTGACCTTGGTTTGCTTCTTCTCCGTGGCATAGACAATGGAGGTGCAACACACCTCGGCGATTTTGCGACCCTGCCCGTAGAAAGACCAGCAGCAGATCTCATCCCCCAGGACATCCTTGAGGAAGAGCAGTCGCCCGTGGAAACGCAGGGCCAATTTGTCAAACAGTTCGATGTTCTTAAGTAGGTTGTCATCTGAAGTGCTGAGGACCAGGTGGGGGGGGGCAGCAAGGCCTCAGCATGACTGGCTTCCCCTTCCTGCTCCGCCCCCACTCCTGAAGGCACTCTGGTTCTGCCCTGCAGGATCTTCCAGACAAACAGGCCTCAAAAGGGAAATAGCATTTGCTGGGTAAATCCCAGCAAGCACAGCCGTTCAGCTCCCCATGTAGGCTCTTGAGCCAGGCTGCTTCACCAAGCTGCCACATCAGGCACCCCAGCTCTGCCACTTTTTAACGGACTGACACCAGGCAAGTTACTTAACACCTCTTGGTGCCTCAATCTCCTCATCTGTCAATGGAGTTCACAACACCTACCTCAAAACAGGGGGAGAGTTGTCTAAGTTAACAGAGCACTTAGAGAAATCTGGTTTGAAAATCAGCACTTAGTCCATGACAGCCATCATTTAGTCCTCATCTAAACCTCTGTGTACTGAGGATACAACTGAAGCTCTGAATGGGAGATGATCTGCTCAAAGTACCCAGTGGGCAAGTGGCAGAGCTGGTATGTGCACTGAGGCAGGCGTCCTTATTGCCCTGTGTGGCCACAGCCTTCCCTTTGGACCCGCAGCAGGGCTGTGCACCCCAGATTTTGCCTGGTTTGCACATGAACACACACACCCTGCCCAACCATAGCAGTCACCTGGTATAGGAGTACTTGTTGTTACTGCGGTTGTGCAGGAGCTTCACCACGGGCTGTTGGGGGAGAGGAGGAGAAGGATGGGATCAGGCTGCAGGGAGAGGCCCTAAGCCTCCACCCCACAGAGCTCAGGGGCCTCACCTTAGAGGTGCTGGCCAGGAGCTGCTGCTCCTCCCGGGGAGATGTCACCGTGGGGATGAGGCACAGCGGGCACAGGTTCTCCCTTCTTTGCTGGGGAAGAAGTGGAAGGTGGTTAACAATATAACCAGAGGTCATTCGCTCCTTCACTTAAAGGCCTTCAAAAGCTGCTTGTGTGGGCTGGGGATATAGTTCAGTTGGTAGAGTGCTTGCTTGCCTTGCATGTGCAAGGCCTTGGGTTCAATCCCCAGCACCAAAAATAGACAGACAGACAGATAGATAAATAAATAAATGCTGCTTGTGGCCCTGGGCAGGAGAAAAATCCAGACTCAGTGGTCCACCAGGCTGTGCAGGATCCCATCTCTGCTGGCTCTGCTGCCTGCCTTGCTCCTTCATGCTTCCAGCTGTGTCCATCCTGGCCCTGGGTTTCCACTCTGCTGTCTACACTGTTGGCTGCTTTGTACTATTCAGATCTTGGCTCAAAGGTGCCTCTTCACATTGCCAGCCCTGCTCACTAAGGGCCCTGGCTAAAGCAGCCTCCTGTTTGCTTAACCACTGAGCCACGTCCCTAGCGCTTTGTATCCTTTGAGACAGAGTCTTGATAAGTTGCTTTAGGGACTAAGTTGCTGAGGCTGGCCTTAAACTTGTAATCCTGCCTCAGCCTCCTGAGTCACAGGGACTAGAGGCGTGCGCCATGGTGCTCAGCCAATTTTCCTATTTTTTTCCCCTAAGGCTTCTTCAAAATTAATATGGAAGGCTGGTGGAGTAGCATATGCTGTAGCCCCAGTAACTTGGGAGACTGAGGCAGGAGACCAGGAGTTCAAGACCAGCCTGGGCAACATGACAAGACCCCACCTCAAAATAAGTAAGTGAATTAATAAATAAAACAAAATGTAAATGAAATAAAAGTCTAAAACTAGAGTCAAATTTTTTTCAGGGAGTGGGGGAAGTACTGGGGATCAAACCCAGAGCACTTTATCACTAAACACCCTTCCCCTTTTATTTTTTGAAACACTGGTCATTGCTAAATTGCTAAGGTTGGCCTTGAAATTGTGATCCTCCCTTTCTCAGCTCCCAAGTTGCTGGGATTAAAGCATGTACCATGTCACCTGCCTCAGAGTTAGTTTTTTAAAAGAGCCAAGTGGAGACACTATGTACACTACAAAACCATAATAAATACAGTGTAGTTCTGGCGCAGAAGTAAAAAACAACTTGGACACAATAGACAGCTCAGAAACACACTGGTGTGTATGAGAACTGATATTTGAAAAAGGACACCACAGATGAGCGGGGGTAAGTATGGAGAGTATGTTAGTTACTTATTGCTGAACAAACTGCCCGCGAACTTAGCAGCCTCAATTAACAAAATGTATTCATTATTTCAGTTTGCATAAGTCAGGAATTCAGAAGTGGCTTCACCAGACCATTCTGGCATGAGTTATCTCACATGGTTGTGATCAGCAGGAGTTATTGGCATCTGAAGATGATTCCCTCTAGAGCATCCATTTCTG